ATAGAAAAAGTACGTCAAGTGTTGGAAGGAGTGAAGGATGAAAAACACTGTTGGTGGGACACTTTGTTTTGATGATTGCCAACTGCCACAGGAATCTTCAACAAGATGCTTCACCCTGTTTTTGTTTTATTAATACTCACTGTATTGTGTTTCATATTGACAGTATCCCTGTATGTCAAACTTTGGATTATGATGAAACGTATGTTTCATCTAGTATCCCTACAAGATGTACATATACTCGATAACCCTCATCACAAGGACATATGTGATACACCCGATACATTCCAAATGTCCTGAATCTTGAGTGACTATAGTCATGGGGTGGATGGTGTGGAATAATTGCCTGAGGTGACTTAGAAATTAACTTATATTATAATATCAGAACACACCTCCATCCCAAAGGCTACCCGCCTCCAAGGTGTAACCATGCCTCACTGAGCTTGCTCTTTAATTTTTTTTCTAGTCTATACCTTTAAAAACAAAGCAAGAAGATTTCGCACCAATCATAACAAATGTATGCGTGACTAGTATCATTCAAGCTCCACCTAAAAGACAGAAAATTATATAAATTAGCTTCAGGGAGAGAAGATGTTAGGGAAGATACCATCGCGAAAGATACCTTCTGTGTTCTGGGGTCAGTCGACAGGCTGAGTCTGTCTTCTCCTCCACTGGAAAGCATTTGAGTAAGATTCGTACACTTGGTTATGCCAAGTGCCTCCCCAGGAAACTTAGAAATCTCTATAGAGTCTCTTTATATCTTTTAACGCATTTGTAGCCAGGCTGTGTTACTCATAATTTTGGGATTTGCACGTGCTTTACAGACAGTGAATTTATCACCAGCAATCCAAAGAACCTGTGAACATGTTGCTTTAATGAATTGCACAACTGACCAATCTAGCCGTGGTAATTCTCATTGAATGTGACCAAACTCTTTAAGTGTGGCCATGGTAGTTCATGGAATGCGACTAGACTGAGGGTATATTATGTTATTTGTGCATCTGTACTCATAGAATCATAGAATATCCCGAGTTGGAAGGGACCTATAAGAATCATTGAGTCCAACTGCTGGCACCACATAGGTCTACCCAAAAATTCAGACCATATACGTCTTCCCAGGTCATTACTGCCAATGAATTGGCATACAACAACAGTGCGCTCCGTACAAATTTCTGCCACATGGGTTGTGTGCACTTGACTTCATCTGGATCTCTGGGAATCTGTTCATTGTTGTGAGAAATATCCCAATAATTTTCTAAGACAGGGTCTCTTGTGAAGCTGATTTATTCACAATTGCAATGGCAGGTGTCCTGCAAGGAGGGGTGTGCAGCAGAAGTGTATCGTAGCCCTATATCCCCTATTACCCGATGCTTGATTCCTCACTGGCTGAGTACTATAGGTTCACAACCTACCCGACGCTTGTTACTATGCCCTGTATGTGCAGTTTTATATGACTAACATTCCCTGTGCAATCGCTTTTAAATATGCAAAGTTAGTGGAATTTTACACTGCAAAAACATAACTTTAATTCTTACAGTTCCCCCTTCGTCTTTTCTTACTCCTATTGTTGGTTTTGAACCTCTTCACATCCCCCACTCGAGTTTTTCCAACATTAGGGCACAATATTTTTCTTCGGATGTCATGGGAGATGACAGTCTCTGCCAAGAACATACATTTTTGATATGTCATACAAGGAATAATACAAGGAATAAGCAAGCAGATCAAAATACACAGTACTATTATTACTAGAATACTAACAAATAGTTGCTTGAGCCAATCCCATCCAGGCAACCACGAGGTCAATTTTTCCCAAATGTCTCTAAATCCCCACGAAGTGTCGTCTTGGGCCACCTCATGTAAGACCTTGGTTTTCTCCCAAATATTTCTGAGATCAGTCTCAATTCGCCCCGTTTGGTCTACATACATACAGGAACTGGCAAGCTGCAAGTTGCAAAGTGCAAGGCCAGTAATAAATCCAGTACCAGTAGATTCTGGAATACCATCTTTAACAGACTTGTCACCTCCTCTTGCAGTGCCTGGATCGCATCTAGAGTGCTATTTTCTAATTCTTTGACTACAGCTGAGATATTCACAATGTCTTTTTCTAATTCATTCACCCCTAACCAAGGGAAAAACCACCTCACAAAACTTTGAAACGCTATTCCTCTCTCCACTAGAGGAAGTCCTCTTGATTCTGGGTAGGTGGGTCCCAAGGACGCCTGTGCTTTGGCTTTGAATATCCTCAACAATGGTTACGTTTGGAATTATTGCCCCCAGGGTGCAAGCTCCCTTCCATCCTAGGGGCAACACCTACCGGGCCCTATTACCACATAGCCAATACCACCCTTTGTAGTTCGGGACTGGTCATCCAGTTACCAAATGATTCCCGCGCAGTTTTTGGTGTGCATTATATATATTATCACTCCTGTAATTACCACATTCGGAACAATATGAATAATTTCCTACATCACAGGTAACATTTCCACACCTAGGTTCAGTATTACTGCTCTCTGAATTTCCATCAGTATTTTTTAAAAGACACCTTTGATAACAAGTTATATTGTAACCAGGATTACGTGTAGGAAGCTCAACTTCAAAATCTATTCTCTTCCAGGGCTGGGCAAAATCCATCGCTTTTAGAGATCTAGAGAATCCAGAGACGATTGCTGCTGGTAACAGAATAGCAAAGACAAGGGCTTTTTAGTATACCTAGGCATCTGTTTGCAAATCCAACAGTTATTTTCATAGAATCATATAATAACCCGAGTTGGAAGGGACCCATAAGGATCACCGAGTCCAACTCTTGGCTTCACACAGGTCTACCCAAAAATTCAGACCATATGACTAAGAGCACAGTCCAAATACTTTGTAAACTCTGACAGGCTTGGTGCTGTGACTACTTCCCTGTGGAGCCTGTTCCAGTGTGCGACAAAACTCTCAGTTAAGAACCTCTTCCTAAAATCCAGCCTGAACCTCCCCTGTCACAGCTTGACACCATTCCCTTGGGTTCTATCATTGGTCATTAAAGAGAATAGATAAGTGCCTGCCCCTCCACTACCCCTCACAAGGAAGCTGTAGGCTGCAATGAGGTCTCCCCTCAGCCTCCTCTTCTCCAGGCTGAACAGGCTAAGTGCCCTCATCCACTCCTCATACGTCTTCCCCTCTAGGCCCTTCACCATCTTTGTAGCCCTTCTCTGGACAGTCTCCAATAGTTTCACATCCTTTTTGTACTGTGGTGCCCAAAACTGCACACAGTACTCGAGGTGAGGCCGTGCCAGCACAGAGTAGAGCAGGACAATCACTTCCCTCGACCGACTAGCGATGCCATGCTTGATGTACCCCAGGATACGCTTGGCCCTCCTGGCTGCCAGGGCACACTGCTGGCTCATGTTCAGCTTGCTGTCAACCACAACCCCCAGATCACTCTCTGCGGGGCTGCTCTCCAGCGTCTCGTCGCCCAGTCTGTACATATAGCCAGGGTTGCCCCGTCCCAGGTGCGGGACCCGGCACTTGCTCGTGTTAAACTTGATGTGTTTGGTGATTGCCCAGCTCTCCAATCTGTCCAGATCTCTCTGCTAGGCCTTTCCATCCTCAACAGAGTCAACAACTCCTCCAAGTTTAGTATCATCAGCAAATTTGCTCAAAACACCTTCTAGTCCTACATCCAAATCGTTTATAAAAACATTGAAGAGGACTGGCCATAAAATGGAGCCCTGGGGGACCCCACTAGTGACCATCAGCCAGCCTGATGAGGCCCCATTTACCACAACCCTTTGAGCCCTGCCTGTCAGCCAATTGCTCACCCATCGTAGGATGCTTTTGTCTAGCTGTATGCTGGACATTTTGTCCAGTAGGATCCTATGGGAAACTGTGTCAAAAGCTTTACTGAAATCCAAAAAGATCACATCAGATGGTTTCCCCTGATCGACTAGACGGGTGACTTTATCGTAAAAGGAAATCAAATTTGTTAGGCAGGACCTTCCCCTCGTGAACCCATGTTGGCTGGGACCAATGACTGCATTGTCCCCCAGGTGCGCTTCAGTAACTTCATGGATCATCTTCTCCATAATTTTACCAGGCCCTGATGTGAGACTGACAGGCCTGTAGCTGCCAGGGTCCTCTTTCTTGCCCTTCTTTAAAATTGGCGCAACATTTGCCAGCTTCCAGTCTACTGGGACCTCTCCAGATTCCCAAGACCATTGAAAAATAATTGAGAGAGGTCCTGTGATGACGTCAGCCAGCTCTCTAAGTACCCTGGGATGAATCCCATCCGGACCCATGGACTTGTATGGATCCAGGTGGAGCAGCAAATCCCACACACATTCAGGGTTTGCTGGGGGTTTATCATTCCCACCATCACGGTCCTCCAGCTCAGGGTACCCAGGGTCCCAAAGTCCATCATCGGCGTTGAAGACGGAGGCAAAGAAGGCATTAAACATCTCTGCTTTGCCTATGTCCTTGTTTGTGAGATGACCATCCTCATCAAGTAGGGAACCTATGTTTTCTCTGGTCCTCCTCTTTCTGTTCACATATTTAAAAAAAAAAAAATTATCATCTCCCACAGAGACAATAAATAAATAAGAGAGAAATAAATAAATAAGCTAGCACTTGAATTCCTCAATAAAACAAATACAAAAGGATTTCTAATTAGCTGTCCTGCTAATTCCTGTCTGAACTCCAAGTCATTCTCCCTCTCAAAAATTTGATTTTTCTACTTATAAAAAGGGGATAACAAGGTCAGCCTTTGTAATCTAGGTCACAATCAATAGATGAAAAGCACTGTTTATAAGCTATGATAAAGTGCTCAGAAAGGCAAATTTAATACAACAGAAGACAATGCTTGCCCAACAGCTCCTATTCCAAATAGTCTGTAAACAAAGAATAATGAAGTAAATTAGGATTTATATTATCTCTTTGTTTCCAGTTCAAATTCCAAAGCAACATTCATAGAGACTACACTGTCTTTTTTAAATAGAAAGGTTTTAAAATAGTTAAAAGTTTACCTCTTTGCCTTTAGTATCTCCATTTTCAAACCATTCAACAGTTACACTTTCATTATCTTCATTTAGGGATGTTACCATAGCTTGGTGAATTCGGCCTAGAAAGGAAACACATATGAATATTTATTAATCAGATGAAATTCCAGAAGTTATTTGAATTGCTGTATGCAGAGAGGCAGGAAGAAGAAGGTTTAAAAAAAAAAAAAAAGGGAATAAATAAAAGATGGTTCCTGGCCACATACTGTAAACTGGCATAGATGTGATCCATTAGCTGAGGCTCTAATGAACGAGTGCCCAAGTGAAAAAAATCAAGAAACAGAAAATTGAGTGGTATGTAAGAAAAATACCATGTGAAATCCATGCCACTTAAAAACTCTTTTTTTTTCTTTTTTTTTTCTTTTTTTTTTTCTTTTTTTTTTTCTTTTTTTTTTCTTTTTTTTTTTCTTTTTTTTCTTTTTTTTTTGTGTCAGAAGTTTTGATAACATTTCCAAGACCACTATTCTTTCATGGACAGAAAAGTTTACTGTGGTGCACTCTACAAAGGCTTTTTTGTCTCCTTTCTAGGACAATACAACATTAAATGTCCTGACATAGGAGTAAATCTCCCTAAAATTATATTCAGTTGGTAATTCAGCTAAAACCAAATTTCCTGCAACAATAATAAAAATCATCACTTTATCAAACATCACTAACATAAATTCTTAGAATCCCATTGTTAAGACTTCTCCAGTGAAAGACATCAAGCCAGCAAGCCCCCATAAAGAAGAACAAACCCAGTAAACTTCCAGTAGGAGTACAGATTTTTCTTACTAAATATGAAGTATAATTCATTTTTTAAAATATCCTCTATCACACTTTATCGTATTTTCTAGGCATGGTAGCAAGGAGTGATTAGAAGAGCAGAGCAGCCATGTGCTGACACAAAAAGATCAAGATCCAAGTGTCACAATGAGTTCACATCCATGCTTTGCACTAATACCAAAATCTAGACTTTCTGAAGAATACAAGTCCAATGGAACTGCTCCTCTGATACTCTATTTTAAGGAGCCATAGAACAAGCAATCCCTTACGTTGTTGCATTTCAGAGGGAAACATGCATGATATGGTAGAAATGAACTTTAAATAATGTTTTATTTGTATCAACTCCCAAAAAAAGAAATATATATATATATACATATATATATAAAACTCTTATATATATAAAACTGTCTTTATCTCAACCCACAGGCTTCATTTTTTGTCTGATTCTCTCCCCCCATCCCAGAGAGGGAGGGGGAGCGAATGGCTGTGTGTGGCCTGCCCTATTATTATCGACCCTGTGCAAGGCACTGGGTTGTGGCAGCCACATGACTGCAAGCTTCTACAAGCTCGAAAAATGGTTTTGGACTATGGATTACAATCCCAGGCAGCTCGACAGATAATTCAATGCATTTTTCAGGCAAAACCAATGTGTCCACTTGACTATCGAAACTTGGCGTGTGTCGTGGTTTAGCCCGGCCGGCAGCTAAACACCACACAGCCGTTCGCTCACCCTCCCCCCTCCCTCTCTGGGACGGGGGAGAGAAATGGAAAGTGAAGCCTGTGAGTTGAGATAAAGACAGTTTAATAAGACAGGAAAATAATAATAACAATAATAATAAAATAATACTAATAATAATAATAATAATAATAATAATAATAATACAATGGTGATAATAGTACTACTAATAATAATATGTACAAACAAGTGATGCACAATGCAATTGCTCACCACCCGCTGACCAATGCCCAGCCTAACCCCGAGCAGTCCGGCCCCCCTCCCCCGGCTAGCCACCCCTATATATTGTTTAGCATGACGTCAGATGGTATGGAATACCCCTTTGGCTAGTTTGGGTCACCTGTCCTGGGTCTGTCCCCTCCCAGCTCTTACTGCACCCCCAGCCTGCTCGTTGGCAGGACAGAGCAAGAAACTGAGATGTCCTTGGCTTAGTATAAGCACTGCTCTGCAACAATTAAAACATCGGGGTGTTATCAGCACTCTTCTCATCCTAAGCCAAAACACAGCATTCCACTGGCTACTAGGAAGAAAATTAATTCTGTTCTAACTGAAACCAGGACATCTATCCACCCCTTATTCCATACCATTTATGTCATGCTCAGGTTACACTCTTCTCCATACATTCTAATTAGTCACCTATAGTAATCATGGTAGTGATAACATACAGTATTATATAGTAATTAACATGGTACAATTCAGTTCATGGGCTATTCTCACCCAGTATTAAATCTCCTTGAGGTACACACCGGACCTCTCCGTTCTTTTGCATCACCCACCAAGTGTATCCAGGTCCCTGAGCGAAAACAATTCCACGAATGGGTTTGCCTTTTCCTGAGGCAGGAGTAGCCCAGACTGTCTTACCCAGCATATTTCTTACATGCACTACAGGAACTTTATCCCCATCTACAGTACGTAACAGGTTTGATTGGGCAAGTCCAGCTCGGTTGGCAGATCCCCTAGTATTGACTAACCAGGTGGCCTTTGCCAAATGCGTGTCCCAATTTTTTAATGTCCCAGCGCCCATTGCTTTCAATGTAGTCTTTAACAGTCCATTGTATTGTTCAACTTTCCCGGAGGCTGGTGCATGATAGGGGATGTGATACACTCATTCAATACCATGCTCTTTGGCCCAAGTGTCTATAAGGTTGTTTCGGAAGTGAGTCCCATTGTCTGACTCTATTCTTTCTGGGGTGCCATGTCGCCATAGGACTTGCTTTTCAAGGCCCAGGATAGTGTTCCAGGCGGTGGCATGAGGCACAGGATATGTTTCCAGCCATCCGGTGGTTGCTTCCACCATTGTAAGTACATGACGCTTGCCATTGCGAGTTTGAGAGAGTGTGATGTAATCAATCTGCCAGGCCTCTCCATATTTATATTTCAGCCATCGTCCTCCATACCAAAGAGGCTTTGACCGTTTGGCTTGCTTGATTGCAGCACATGTTTCACAGTCATGAATAACCTGTGCTATAGCGTCCATGGTCAGGTCCACCCCTCGATCATGAGCCCATCTGTATGTTGCATCTCTACCTTGATGGCCTGAGGTGTCATGGGCCCATCGGGCTATAAATAATTCACCTTTATGCTGCCAATCCAGGTCCACCTGAGCTACTTCATTCTTAGCAGCCTGATCCACCTGCTGGTTGTTTTGATGTTCTTCAGTAGCCCGATTCTTGGGCACATGAGCATCTACGTGGCGTACTTTCACAGCCAGGTTCTCTACCCGAGCAGCAATTTCTTGCCACAATGCAGCAGCCCAGATGGGTTTGCCCCTACGCTGCCAGTTGTTTTGCTTCCATTGCTGTAACCATCCCCACAGGGCATTTGCTACCATCCATGAATCGGTGTAGAGATAGAGAACTGGCCATTTTTCTCGTTCAGCAATGTCTAAAGCCAGCTGAATGGCTTTCACTTCTGCAAACTGACTCGATTCACCTTCTCCCTCAGCAGCTTCTGCAACTCGTCGCGTAGGACTCCATACAGCAGCCTTCCATCTCCGATGCTTCCCCACAATACGACAGGACCCATCAGTGAACAGGGCATATTTCTTTTCATTCTCTGGCAGCTGGTTGTACAGCGGGGCTTCTTCAGCATGACCCACCTCCTCCTCTGATGATATCCCAAAGTATTTGCCTTCTGGCCAGTCCATGATCACTTCCAATATTCCTGGGCGACTGGGGTTTCCTATTCGAGCCCGCTGAGTAATCAGTGCAACCCACTTGCTCCATGTAGCATCAGTTGCATGATGCGTAGAGGGGACCCTTCCCTTGAACATCCAGCCTAGTACCGGCAATTGGGGTGCTAGGAGGAGCTGCGCTTCAGTACCGACCACCTCCGAAGCAGATCGAACTCCTTCGTATGCTGCCAATATCTCCTTTTCAGTTGGAGTATAGCGGGCCTCAGATCCTCTGTATCCCCGACTCCAAAACCCCAGGGGCCGACCTCGAGTTTCCCCAGATTCTTTCTGCCAGAGGCTCCAGGTGGGGCCATTCTCCCTGGCTGCGGTGTAGAGCACATTCTTTACATCTGGTCCTGTTCGGACTAGCCCAAGGGCTACTGCATGAACTATTTCCTGCTTGATTTGTACAAAGGCTTGTCATTGCTCAGGGCCTCATTCAAACTCATTCTTCTTAGGGGTTACTTGGTGGAGCAGGCTTACAATCAGACTGTAATTTGGGATGTGCATTCTCCAAAACCCCACAACACCTAGGAAAGTCTGTGTTTCTTTTTTGCTAGTTGGTGGAGACATAGCTGTTATTTTGTTGATCACATCCATTGGGATTTGACGACGTCCATCTTGCCATTTTATTCCTAAAAACTGGATCTCTCGTGCAGGTCCCTTGACTTTATTTTGTTTTATGGCAAAACCGGCTTTCAGAAGGATTTGGACTACTTTCTTCCCTTTCTCAAAAACTTCCTCTGCTGTGTCACCCCACACAATGATGTCATCAATGTACTGCAGGTGTTCAGGAGCTTCCCCCTGCTCTAGCGCAGACTGGATCAGTCCATGGCAAATGGTAGGGCTGTGTTTCCACCCCTGGGGCAGCCGATTCCAAGTATATTGGACTCCCCTCCAAGTGAAGGGAAATTGTGGCCTGCACTCTGCTGCTAGAGGGATGGAGAAAAATGCATTAGTGATATCAATTGTGGTGTACCACTTGGCTGCCTTCGATTGAAGTTCGTACTGAAGTTCCAGCATATCCGGCACTGCAGCACTCAGTGGTGGCGTGACTTCGTTCAGGCCGCGATAGTCCACTGTTAGTCTCCACTTGCCATTAGACTTTCGCACATCTCGTAACTCACGCTCGTTTAGACTTCGGGTAGTTACTGTTGATTTTTCGGCATCCTCATCTTCCTCCTCCTGAATCCCTGATGGCCCAGCATCGTCGTCATCTCCGTCATCTCTATACCTAGATTTGGCAGAAGACTCTCTGCGTTCTAAACGACCTGAATCTCTATACCATTTTTTCACCTTCTCTACAGGGGCAGCTTGCACTGCTACTGCTCGTTTCTCTGACCTTGTTACAGGGTCTGCCACAGAGGTTGGAATACCCTCTGCAGGGT